TTATAAGCAGGTAAATTAAGATATTAAAGACTTGAGTAAGACCTTTATCTGTTACGATACCTCTAAATATGGCTTTCTAAAAATGGCGACACGCACGGCCCTGACTATGGTCTAAGACCCTTAGCTGTTCGTATTTCTGTCAATTCACTTGTTTCGGGAGCTGAAACGTGTAAACTTTGACACCTTCTCGAGTTTACGACCTCGCTATACCATGGCCCGGACTATACAGTCCTCCGCTGACTTGAAGTCTCGCGGAAAGAATGCGGGAGAAGTAGAAGGGGATACACGTGTTCCCACGCACACATTGATCTCTAACTCGCTATTCGTCGCGGCAGTTACACACACATGTGGACTGCCTGGGAGCAAGGGAGCGAGATAGATAAATGGGCGGTCCCAACTCCCCTTGCTCTTGTGCCGTCCCGTGAGACTTCAAGTCAGCGGAGCACTGTACCTTTCGATAACCACGAAACCGAGCTGTTAAGGATGGAACAGCGACTCGCACAGTAGGACGGTCGAGTAAACACTGCGGAGAGGAAAGGAAGACACCGAAATTTTCTGACAACTCGCGACGAGTACAGAAAATTCTCGTTCAAAGACCTGGCGTCGTTCAGACAGTCGACTACCTAAAAACTTCGTTGAATTTAAATTTTACGATTCCAAGGGTACTAGTTTTGATTATATTTTGACCAGCTAGAATCGTCGTTTGGCCCTCGGTGAATTTCGCCCAAAGGCCTCACGTTCGATAACATTGTTATAACTTTTCCACGAACATTTTTCAAAACAATTTTTAGAAAAGTCCACGCGATTTGATGCTGTTTAATTTTACATCTTTTCGAGCAAAATATACCTTGATGTGGACTACCATTTCCGCTTTGCTGTAATAAAAATGGCCAAGTTTGGCACGTAGTTAATATGTACTGATCCTTCTCCCGGTTTCTCCTTTGTATACTTTGTCCACAGAAGTGAGGGATCTTATATGTATATTCCTGGGACATTTGAAGCGTTTCAGCACCTTGATGGACCCAAAACGAGTTTTTACTAGAAATGTGTGCGTTCAGTTGAAAGGACCTGTTTCTTGAATTTTTACAAACAATTTTTTTTAGCTTAATTTAAATTTATATCAAGCTTTATTCGAGACAATACTCTTTAAACTAACAATAGAAACTTTCACATACTAAATATGAAAACTATACAAAACGAATACTTGCCAAAAGAATCTAATATCTAAAAACACTTTCTAAAACCGAAGGACCGCGCTTACCAAGAGATTAATGGCACCTAAATTTCTCACTAAATAAAAAATTTCAAAATTGAATTTAGTAAATATATACAAGAAAACAAAAGGCAAGCTTGTTATTATATGGTTTTAAAGTTTTTAATTTACATTTTTTCCAGCGAATTTTTTCGTGGCAGAAGCGTGGAAATGTCAATTTTACATTGGCGAGATATTCGAAATAGTATTAGCTGCCACAGTGTGACCCCAAGATGATTAAAGAGATACGACATGATAAGGATAACGACGTAAAGTAGTTAATGCATGAAGTTAAGAGAAAATTTGAAACGCGTGGTCAGCCCAGCGATAGGGACTTTATTAAACCTATAATCTCCCAATTATCGCCGTGTAAATGAACCGCTTACCACTAGATCTACGAACATTGTTCGTGTACTTATTTTATCCATACGACTACGTTAATTAGATTAAATAATATTCCTGATTTTTATAACTTTCCAATAACATGGAAAAATGTTACTCGATATTTGCCTTCGTCAATTTCTATTAACTCATTTTTTTATCATATCTGAAGATATATGTCTAGTAAAACTAGAGTTTGGAAATTTATATAAAAATGTTCACGAGAAAAGTCGCGTCACAGGAAACGTGTTAATGATAAATCAAGCCAGTATAACTGATTCTAATAAACTATTCATATATGCAATATTCGACAGCTCCTCGATCTCTTGAACAAGTGATTAACTTCTCTAACTAATAAAGTATTAAGTCAATCTCGTGTCAAAGTTTCGAAAATTTCTATTAAAATGTAAAAAGCTGAGTAACTTGAAAATTCTAAAACATACGATATTCTTGGAAGTGTCTTCCCGAAGAAAGAGACGAACGAATGAGACGGTCGACCAAATCCATGGATGAACTTTCAATAACCCTTCGCGCGTGTGGGCCGCTTAACGCATGAATAGATCGCGTCTAACCCATTGTTCCTCTAGATCCACTGGCTTTTTATTTTTAAGACCACTTAAAACCATTTGTTTATTAAATGCTTATCGTCGACGATCAAATACCTCAAACGCGTTGAGATTTTACGTTATAAATCCGACGAAATACCTCGAATATTGAAAGTTTCAAATAACGTGGCGTCTGTAGGCTTATATTTAGGCAAAAAATGTTATCACAAACTTAGAATAATACTATGAAAATTGCAATAATAATATGTGAAACGTAATTTACCAATTTTTACCAACATTCTCGTGATATTGCAAAGCAAAGTTTTAAAGTCATTAATTTTGTTAATATTTTAACGCAACATTTTAATGACGCAAACGCGTTAAGAATGCTCGATTATTCTTTGCGTCCTCATTTGTAGCACTGTTCATTAGTCAGGTTTCCTTATTTTAGCAACTATAACAACCATTCTGTTATTCAGAATGCGCAACGCAGATTCCTTCGTCTTATTGCTTTTCGTACGAATTGTGCTATTCCAACAACATGTCATAATTACGAATTCATGCTGTTTACGTCGCGACGCGACTACGATTCCGCAATAATCACACACGATGCGCATTCCAACGCCAGATGCTGTGCTCCGAAAGGTTCGAAGGACCGCTCAAAACACTTTGGGAGAAACAATAATTTTGTTTAATAACAAATAAAACTGACGTATGCTCAATCTATATTTGTATTACTGATATTAAGTGCGTGGAAAAGTTTTAGAAATAGTTTCCATCATTTTGTACAACTTTCTGCCACCCTTTGGTCTAATTTCGGATTTTAATAAAAAAAGACTCGAAATAAATTTAACGCATTTGCAGTTTAAAATATAAAAATTCACCAAACAAAATTTCCAAAGTACATGTAAACTGTGTAGATTTAAAAGAATGTGTGATTTTAATTTCAATTTGATAGATAACTCGGAAACAAAACGAAAATTGAAAAATTTAAATTAAATAATTTGTCCTTTCAAAGGGTGAAATTCATCGTTGCATTTTGTACTACTATCTGAACCAGAACACCTTTTTTGAAAACACGCTATGTGCGACCACTTTTTGTAGTCAACTCCTACGCTTTGTCCTTTATCGCCTGCAACGTAAACCCAAGCCAAGTGGCCTTAACATTTATGAATACTATAAAAACTTTATTATAATAACGGAATAAAACCAAGAAATTCTTCTTTTAGCACAAACTGAAGACAAAGCAATATACTGGAATTTCAACTACACCACGGCATAAAAAACCTGAGCTCTACGTAATTCCTTTTTAACCTAAATGGAGTAGTCTTAAAACATTAGTCTCTTCTCTACCAAGAAATACACCCTTTATACTAAAATTAGTTGTGTTAACGTAATATCTGTACAAAAAGACTTCTGCACCTTATCAGTGGTCAATAAAGTATTATTATTTGTATAAAAAAATATGTCATTGGTAGACTATGTATTTTAGATTAATATAGTATTTTGTATACCCATCGTATACGTTTTCCTTATTTGCATACACCATAAATGCATAAAATCCGTAGCCCAATCATTTAGTAACTCGCATACGCAATTTAAACTTGCGAAATAATTGGACACAATTGATCAGTTTTCTAGGAAGGAGCACAACTGTCGAAATATCGGCCAATCGAGGATAAACTGGTTAATATGGCAAAGCCGATGCTACGCGGCTAATTAAGAGAAATCCGTTGCTCGTAGAGTGTAACAAATTAAGAGCTCGTTGCTTTTGAATAATTCCTTGTGTAGATTCCGTTGCTCTTCGTTGTCGGCTCCCGACTAATTCGAAATCTCAAGGAATTCCAATTGTCTAAAGTATGTTGCTTCAGGAGCACGCTGCTTGGAAACCGCACGCGTTCCCTGACGATTTCGAATATCCGATTTTAGGGGACTCTCGAAAGAAGCCTTAATCTAAACTCTGTTTCTCCCACCAAATTAATGTAATTGAGTTTAACTGCTGCAACAACGTTAGTCTATACGTTGGAGTTAAAAAGAATCTCAATGTACGTGTATAAACTTTTTGGCTTTCGTACGATTCTTGACTAACGTATTTAATTTTCATACACGTTTATAAGTATAATTATGAAAATCTAAATTGAGAAATTAATTCAGCACAGAGGTCTTTCCTACCATGACATTAATTCAGCAGTGGAACGGTTAAGTGCCTCTGCAAATGTGTGTCAACGTAGGTTCGCGATACGTCAATCGCTATTGAGAGTCAAGATGGAACTTGAAGGTTTTCTCGTCCTAATTGGAATTTCAAGTTTTCCTAGCTGCGAATAATCGTAAAAGTCGCGACAAATCTGCACGAACGTTATCGATCCTCAACACATTCTGTCTCGTTTAGATTTAATGACTCTTGAAAAACGAAGAGTGATATTCGTTCCACGTCTGAGCTAATTTCGTGACCGCATGATCGATCGCCGCGACCCGCAACTTTGACTCCCGCGACCCCGATTGCTCCGTATTGTTTAACAAATTACAGAAAATAAAAAGAAACGGATAATCACATCCAATCCTTGTTTCAACGAAAGCTTAAAGGCAGTTTCATTGTTATTAATATAAGATTCCAAATCTGTGCGTTTGTGATGTGCTATAAAGCTCTAATGTAATATAAAATTACGTTTATTTCTTAATTTGAATATTTCTTATTATAATCCAAATTGTAATCTAAGATTCCGGATCTGTGTGTTTGTGATGTACTATAAAGCTGTCAACTTAATGTCTACGATCATGTATCTCGTCGATTCTAATAGCTCGTGATATTCTGACTGTTACAGCGGAAAAACTGCCAAACGGATTCCCGATGATATCTCAAGCACCGACGTCGAAGGTGATCGAAGTGGGCCATAACACGATGTTGATCTGCACGGCTGTCGGTTCACCGCCCCCGATCATATCCTGGGTACGAAACGGTCTGCCCATCGACACGACCAATCCACGTTACACGGTTTTGGGGACCGGTAAGTACCGCGAATTCACCTCAAAAACTTCAATTCTCAAACGTATGTACGTACACATTCTGATGGACAAAATTATGAGACACGTTGTTTGTATTGAACAGATTATTTAAAAGGTGTATAAAATACAAGGACAAGGATTTATATACATATATTAGAAACACCAAAACTGTCGCAGAATAGATGAAAGAGTCAAAAGCATTTGTGTACAAGCAGTATCAAACAGAATAAAACAGTGTCAAATGGTATCAAATACCGGTTGGTGAACTACCGGATCGCGATACTGCTTTATCCTGTTTGATACTGTTTGTGTACTTAATACTTTTTGGCTTCTCGAACCAACACGAAGGAAAATAACTTGGAATCTTTTGGCTAACACGGTATTCGTCGTTAACTACGTTGTTCACTAGCGAAAGAGCCCTTCCAGCGTGCTAGCTCGAGGGTTCCCGATGTAACGGCTGTCAAACGAGAATGTGCCCGATCACGTTCTTGTTAAACAGACTGTATAAAATCTATTAACGAAGATTACAGACTCGATCGACGTGAGGAGACTGAAGGGGGGGGATATCGAATAAAGTGGATACCGGAGATAGCGTAAAGGATCGAGGGGAAGAAAAATATGGATGGCAGATAAATCGAAGATGTTTGACCGCGGCGTACAGGCAGGTAACAATAGGGTGAAAGCCGGTGGCGCGTGTCATATCTCGTCGAGTGCCAGAGTGCGTAAGTCACTGTCGACTCGCGGTAGCGTTGATCGAGTGGTCACGCGATATGGGAACATCCAGCACATCCATCTCGTTTCCCGAGAGCGGCGCACCTGCTATGCTCGCGAAGTACACTTCGTGTCTGGTCGTTCGAGAATCGATATCATCGACGTTTTCGATGAAACTGCCAAACACCCAAGACTTTATGCTTAATCGAACGAACCCCGTATCCGCGACGTTTACGAGTAAATCACGAAATTGCCACTCCATCTCGCCCCGGAACTTCTGCTACCATTCCTCGACGTTTTTCAATACTTCGGTCCATAATTATTAGACTGTGAATGTTTACGCGTTTATGGAACATTTTAATCCTCGAAAAAGTTCAGAATGCACCTAAGATACGAGTTATTGTATTTAGGGGTTGAGATAACCCTTTGCGAAACTCCCATTTCATTAAATTATAACACATGTTTAAGCTTACAGCACAATTGTTAGGTTGTGCTCTTACTCTCTGAACTTCTCTCGTTATTTAATGACCCAAAGATAGTAATAGATTGCAACAGTTAGAGATACATAGAGTGACATAAGGCGACATTAAAAGGTGCACAAACTGAATGTACCATTGTTTTTTAAAATGAAGCTCTATAATCTTGATCACTCTACTCGAGATGGTTTTTTAATCTTTGCAAAAGAATCATTTTTTTATTTATATGAAAGCGGGTATAACTACTATTTAGTGATATTCAAATGAAGTAATCACTGGACGGTGCTAATATTATCACAGAGTCAATAAAAAAACTGTCCAAAACAGAAAAAGCTTATTAAAAAGACTGCTTAAGTAAAAGTCAGATGCAACAGTCTTCGAACCGATATTTAAATAAAAAAACGCGTCTGGACGCAGTCGAGCACGGATTCAATGTTTCGATATTTCCAATTCATATTTGTATCGTTGTCGTAGTAGGATCGTTGAGGCATTCTGTACGTTCTATCGTTCCCTTCGACGCGTTCTTGAACGAGGCAATGGCCACTGTCGTTGCAAAGGCCGACCTATACTACTCGTGGCGCACTCGAGCCCCACTCGATACCGTTAACGAACTCGAACGATCTTTCGATCGTCCGCGAAAACCTGGATAAGCTCTCTCGACCGATTTGTTTCGCGAGCCAGTCCACTGTCCGTCGAGTGTGTACTCGAAAAATCTGCGTGGATGAAAAAAAAAAAAATACGAGTAATCGAGGCCCCGTCCCGTCCGCGTTCTTTCCATAAACGCGATGGCACGTCCGACCGAGAGATGAAAAACCAAAACGTCGACGACAGAACCGAATGTTAACGAGGAGCCGCGCGATTCGCGAAATATAATTCGCGATAACGGCGGAAACGAACGAGCAAGGTTGTTTCGCTAACGCACGATGTAACCTATTATCATTATTTTTTCCCCGCGTCGCGTCCCGGGTTACGTACGCGACTGTACACACACGCGTGTATACGTATATATATCTAACGTTCACTTTGTTTTTATCGCAATGGCGGTATCATTATCGAGCGGCACGTCACGTAATACCGGCGTACACTTGCCACCGACTATCTTTACGGCGGACGGTGCAGTTTGCCGCGACGTGAAAAGTGTACATTAGATGCAGGAAACCCGGCTCCTAGTATCGTTCGCCTGTATCGTGCTCCCTGTTACGTGTATGTGCATACGTTATGCATACATCCAGCGCGTGTCCCGGGTACAGACTCTTCCATAAAATTCGTTACGATCCGACCACTCGGCGGGCCGATTCCCGACGCCCCCGGTGCCAGACGACATTGAGAAACAAGCTTCCCTCCCTCGCCCGATCCCCGATTATATCGAACGAGAACGTTCGATACGAGTTGTTTTCGAGTTACGCGCACACGTCGACCGGTACGTTGTAAGTTGGATCGTCTAGCGGGGGTGAACAGTGATTTAGCTAAAAACATAGATCTAGATATGGCAAATTCTATCTACGCTAGTTTACAATTGTCTGAAAACAAAGTTTCGTTTTCGTGGACGATACGAGGGGTTTGATCTGCCAAACAATGTGTTAAAGAAGAATGTTTCTTAAATCGTGAAATTAAACGTAAGAAGTTCTAGAAAAGTATAACAGACTAAAAATCAAGAGAATTTGAAGATTAGAGATTCGCAACAAAAATAATGCAATAATGAAGAAATTGTAAAGGAACGTAGTTATTGGGCAGACCAATATAATGGCTGTCCACTTAATCGACAGTGATTGATCGCTGCTTTTGGTCGGATCAATTTATTATACGAACGTTCTATTACTATTACACACACCTTGAAAGAAACAAATTAATTCATTTGGCAATGAATAAGGAATTAAAATTACTGCAAAAAATAACTGTGTTTTATCATTGATGCGCACATTTGTACCTATTTAACATAGGTAACAAATAAATATTATTAATATTATGAGAACATGAAATATGTTATTATACAGGGTGTTCGGCTACCCCTGAGAAAAATTTTAATGGAAGATTCTGGAGGCCAAAATAAAACGAAAATCAAGAATATCAATTTGTTGATTGAGGCTTCGTTAAAAGGTTATTAAAAAATTGAATTAAAAAATTTCAAATCGTTCAGGAAAAATTATTTTTGTTACGGGGGCCAATTACAACCATTTTTGGTAAATAGACATACCCCCGAAATTCTACGCAGTTTCGAGAAAAAAATTCCTTACCGATAATGCAATGCCTGATCATACGTTGACATGTTTCCCTGAAACAATTGAAAAATTTCAAATTGTTCTGAAAAAATTATTTTTGGTTGTAGGGGTCAATTAAAATCATTTTTAGTGAATACACATATCCCCGAAATCCTACGTACTAACGAGAAAAAAAATTCTTTATCGAAAATATACTGTGTGGCAGGAAATGTTTCTATAACTTTTTAACGAAGCCTCAGTCAACAAATTAGTATCCTTGATTTTCGTCTTATTTTGGCCTCTAGAACCTCCCATTAAAATTTTTCCCAGGGATGGCCAAATAACCTGTATAAATATTTATCAATTATTACCTTTGGCATTAAAAGGTATAATTTTTCTTGAACATATATCAAATTTAATAATTACTGGTTTTTGTTTTGAGTTAGTATCGTTTTCAAAATTAATATTTTAGCGTTTGTAAACATCAGTGTCTTCTAGTTTGAGAGTCATAAATGTATATTTATCGTACCAGTATCGTTAATCATAGCAATTTCAATAACAATCAATTCATGAAAACAATCATAAACATTTTCTTTTTTCATTTATAGTGAATAACCGTTATAGCGTAGGGATACGAGTGGGAGTAACTGTATATCGCACGTTCGTCGATCTTACGACTCGTGCAACCGCTGTGTCGTATGCGTCACACGTATAAACGGGGATATCGCGTGCGTGCTCGTCGTCGTGTCGCAGATTCCGTCCGCGCCTATGCGGAAACGCACGGTCGCGGCCATCTTATCGAAGATTCTCGCGAGGAAACGCGTTCCAGAAGGTGCACACCACGCTCCAGGGGATTTTTCCCCCGCGGAAATTTGATCGGATACGAATAGACTTTGACCGACGCGACGGGGATCGAAAATTCATTAAAATGCGATTTTAAATATTCACTTTTGAATCAAACGTATTTACAGAGATTTCCAAATCTGGGAGAAGAGAGCTGATTACGGTGGTTGCAATTTAATTATGTCATTACACGAATGTAAATTGACATCTCTCTTCAAGAATCTCGTTATCCCAAAATGTTTTCACGATCGTTTTCGTTCTGGAAATCAAACACATTTTCTACCATTGATGCTCCTCCACACTTTTTGTTACTTAACGCATTCACTGTCAAGATCGAAACCGTACGATATTCTGGAAGACTAAAATTTTGATTTTTAGACCATTATAAATTACATGACTTAAAATTTGGTTCAGTACTTGTTTCTGTAACATTGCTAAAATTCATACATCTTATCCAAATTTCCTTCAAGATCTCAGTTTGAGAATTAATTTTTCTAGTTCCATAGTGGTATAATATTCTGCAAGATTAAAATGTTCATGTTAGACCTTTGTAGACTCAACAACCTAAAGTTTGTTTCAGTACTTATTATGGTAACTTTGCATTATTTTCAAAACATTACGAACAAGTCTTAGTTTTCCCCTATACTGTACATGTTTGGTTCCCCTAATCAAATCCCTCGGTAAACTGATCAGGAATTGGGCCCTCGACGGCGAGCAGAAGCGTAAAAGAGCCGACAGAACGCGAGAGATAGAACAGTCGAGGGGTAGAATGAC